TCTCATCGACTGAATAAGAATAACGTAGAAAATTATGTTTATTATCAATGAAGGAAAAAATATCTTGGTTCGTGTTTAAGTCCATTTTTGATATTCAGTATATAGTGTAAGATAAAGTTTGAATTTTGATATCAGTTAAAATGTATTTTATAAAAGAATCTTGACACAATATTTGGTTAAATAATAATAATAATAATTTTTTTAGCTTTTCTATTTATAAGAAAATCAAGCTAATCGTTATTTATGTTAATAATATGTATTTAGATTAATTTCCTGCTGTAATAATTATGATAGGTACTAACCAAGAAATCACAGCATGGCCATGAGATCAAAATTCAAACATCATTACTCTCTTCTACTATAAATAACACAAACAAAACGCATACTCTTTATAATTATTTTTAGAGTTCTTAAAATAACTAATTTAGTTAAGAAACCAGTTGTTATGCTAGACAAAGTGTATTATCGATAAAGATTTAAGGAAGATCGAGAATGAAAAGAAGCCACGGAATCGAATATTATTTAATCAAAATCTACGAGTTATCCAAATTTGGTAAACAGGAACCAACGATAAAAATTCGATTATCTGTATCTAAAAGAGAGCGAAAGTGTGCTTGTGTTTATTTGTTATTATTGATTATTCATGTATATATTTTTTGTATTGTATTTGTCATCTCGCTATATAACCACCAACATTTATGACTTTATTCATTGAAAAAGACCCTAAGTGAAAAAAATACGAAATGTGTGCATTTATGGAGAATAAAATAATTGGAGGTCATATGTACTCGGATATGATATATTTGGATGTTCACATCAAATGATGCAACAAATGAAACAGTTACAAAAATAGAAGTCTTGGGGTAATGACAAATGGGAAAAAAGAATTTAGAGTTTTCAGAAGAGAATAACAAACATTCTAATTTTAGCGAATGAGATCATTTGTAATACCTAAATTGGCCTTATTCATGTGAAGATTGAATGTCAATCAATTGTCGTGCGATCACAATGGACACAATGGCTGATTTTGTTTACCGTACTATTCTTATACTTTACATTATTTATATTGATTACATCATCCATTTGGTTTCTGTAGGCGTGTAGACAAATTTATTATAAAGTGTGGGACAATACGTAAGATGTTATAATTAATAAATCAAGTGTGGTCGCATTTAAGCATAACATCGAAAGAAATACCTTTTTGTGCTTTTTATTATGACGTCAAAATACTAAAATACTCGAAATCCCTTGATTATTTAAATACCATACATATAAAAAACACAAAGTAATAATACCGCCAATAATATATCGCACGATTGACTACAAAATACATTTGTGCGAACTATATTTTTTTTTTCCAAGCTCAATGATTACAAGAGATGAAATTAATTCCACGGTGCTTTGAATGGATCCAATTGAAATTCGAAACTCTATTATATGGATGTTCTTATGAGAACATTGTTGGCAATTTTGAATTTTCAGAACTGTTCTTCCGGTTATAAACCGCACTTTTTTGTACTCAATTTAACCAGGAGTTGAAACATATTTTATAAATATAGAACCTTGTTCTACGTAATTGAGGGTTTATAAATAATCAAGAGTTTATAAATATATCATAAAATCTTGTTCTAATTGACCGGAAGAATACGGTAAGTTTTGAGCACAATCCAACTTCCAATATAGTAATTAATCACAGTAATGATAAATGTTAGCGTTAGATAACAAGTTACCGCATGCGCAGCTGGTATTTACATCTTTCGGTTATTCTTGAGAATAAATTATTGTTACCTGATTAGAGGAATTGATTTTCTGCGCACCGTAGTGTACTGTAAAGCGGTTTATGGTCGAAGAAAAAAAGCAATTTTCAAATTGCGATGATTTTGTTTTTACTTTAAAAGATCTAGATTTATTAATAAACGGATAAATGAATTACATTTTTTTTTGGAAAATAAAAATATTTTCAATGTCTTGCAATCGTTATAGGAAAAATTTCTTTCCAGAGTGAATCAAGAACAGGAATTTTGCACTTCTGGCCTTGCCATTTTAAAATAATAAAAATGAATATACTTCTATATGTAAAGTGACAACTATGCCTGACCACTTTATGATTCTCTCCCTCACGAGAAGAGAGTTCTTTGATAATTAGTTTGCCAATTTCACCATTGAACTCGAAAATAAAGAAAAACTATGTTAACCGTGTGTTAGTTAGTATGCTTTATTTATAGTAATAAAAAATAAGATCGCTGTATCAAATTCATTAAAACTTTTACATTACACTATCATTGAAAAAGCTTTTTACATTAATACACTTTTTTCTTTTCGTTTATTTTCTTACTAACCATCCAACCATTATCGGAAAAAAGAAAAATCAACTTTAACATCCTCAGATCGTGATTTCACGTCTCGATCTTTTTGATTTTTAGATGCTGTTGAACATATCATAACCATCCGAGGGATAACATCTGACGTACTCACTGACAAACCGGAAATTCATTAGAACCATGAACTTCTCAACCTTTGCACTCTCATCCTTTTGTAATACTAAATCCCTCCAGATGTTCACAAATGACTCCTTTGCATCTACAGCCAATTGCACGATTCGCCTTAGTTGTTCTTCTGGTATCTCAGCTTACCAACCATGTCTAAGGCGAAGTCCATCAACATCCTTTCGATGATATATAGAAGTCAACTACACCGTCTCCATTATAGCTTCTCCCAACTTCGGGTGAAAGAGTCGCTCCTTTTGCAGATACGCTGCTCGATAGAATTCATGCCCCATGTGCGTTCCAGCAAAACTCCATGTTTAATTCTTCCTTTGAATGAATTCTACGTCTCCCAGATTTCTTCTCTTCGCATGACATTCATTTTTCTCTTCGTTGAGATCCATCCCTCTGAGTTCAGAATCCAACTTCTGTTTGATTTTCGAAGGCTTCTTGATCTTCTATTAACAATAAAAATATGCATACAAGAAAAAACGAATTGCTTTACATTTCGTCACAAAGCCTTCCATCATTCTATGAGGAATGTACTGTTCATGTTTTTTTGATGATAAATTTGAAAAACGCTTTCTCAACGTGAAGGATTGGTTCAACATACGCGCCTTACTCCGAAGAATCACTGTGGAATTGGTGGAAATGATGCATGATGAATTGTGTCTTGTTCTTTGCCTTTTTGATCTTTCTTCTCGATTTGATTTCTCGAATTTGTGTTCTGTTAAGCCACCAATCGCGTAGTGCACAACACCAGAAAAAATTTCACTCTTGAAAACAGCGCGGTGTTTTTTATCAATAATCTTTAATCTCCTTCCGGTTTCTTCACTTCTTCCTCACACTATCAATGAACATCTTTAGATCGTTATTAATTTCTTTACCTTTATTTTCTTTGATGCAGAACAAATAACTGCAAAACCCTTTAACGCCTCGACCTTCTGTTGGCATGTTACAGTCAAACCTTTCTATAGTCACCATCCTTGGGAAAGTGAAATTGGGCGACTATAAAGAGAGGTGAGACTATAAAAGTATATTTTAATTACTCACTTTTGAAGTTGCTGCACGGCAGCTAGCAACTGTTGAATTTGTTGTTGTCGTCGTCGGATTTGTTGCGAGTCATTTTGCAGTCGGAGGACACCTTGCTATTTGAACTGACGTTATAGTCGCTTAATAGTTGGGAAAGTCAAATTGGGTGAGTGAATAAACAGGTGACTAGAAGGGTTTAACTGTATTGTGGAATCTAATCTTATATCATAACCAAGTATCTGAGAGATAACATCTGAAGTACTCACCACGACAAACCGGAAATTTATTAGAGTCATGAACTCCTCAACCTTCATATTCTCATCCTTCCATGATAACCTCTCCGGATGTTCGTCTGTATCTACAGCCAATTGCACGATTCGCCTTAGTTATTCTTCTACATTGTCGGTGTCGCATAAACAATTTCCATTGATCAGCCTTGAAATTTGAGAACCCCCTCTTTCCCACTGTCACCTTTCGTGGAATTCTACCAACCTCCAGGGGAAATCTTGTCCATCCGTGATTTGATACTTTCTAGATTCTTATTGTTTAACACACCTTCATCGACCCAAATGATGCCTTCAGCTTACTAACCATGCCTAAGGCGAAATCCATCAACTCCAAGCTCTACGTCTCTCAGATTTCTTCTCTTCGCATAACATTCATCACTTTTCTCACGCTTCTTCGTTGAGACCATCGCCCCATGGTAGCGACTCCCTTTGAATTTCACCATTTGACAACCAGATTCTATGACAAGTGTCTGGCCCTACTAAGCCACTCTTGACGAGTACCTTTTGGTTAAGATGCAAAGGAACTAAATCGAACGATTTTTCTTTTTTTTCCTTCCATTATCAGTCAATAGTTTGATATATTTAGTTTCGCGAAAGATGACTTTTTCGGGGTTGAGTTTTAAATTCCACGCACCTTATTCCGAAGGTGAGAACGAGAACCGCTTCGGGATTGACGGAGACGTTGCGTGATGAATCGTTTCCTGATTGTAATGTATCTAGAAGAGATAATATAAACAGTAAAAGTGAATTTAACAGATCTATTTATTTAAAAATAAATGTATAACTAATAGCTATCGAAACTAATTTAACAAGCAGTGTGATTTTTTGTTTGGTGGCTTCTTTTATTATAATTTTGTTCCACCTAATTGCCTTCTTAAAAATGTCCACCGATTAAAACACTCTGTGGCATCACGAGTTTTAATGCACTTAGCGATTTCATCCCATGGAAGTACAGCCAAACTATTCTGTTCATTGTCTCCTTGTCTTTCTGATCGTCCTTGTCTTCTCGATTGGTCGATCTGATCAGATATTGTTTCATGGAAGACTTCGTGACAATTGTCATCATCATTATATCCTAATATCCTCGCGAATTAAAGATGGAATCACATTTGGTGTGGGAAAATTTGATTGTCGCAATTAATTGAGGTGCCATCTTTACTCTCGAACATGTTGCTGAGAACTGATAGAGGAAAAATATTAATATATACGATTTTTATAATAATAATAAATTTTGTAATCGCATATTTAAAAACACACAATGACTTAATACTTACAATTCCATTAAAATTTTTTCTGTATATAGTCTAAATAAATTTTCATCATTTTTGATTTCTTGTATCGCTTTTTTAAAATTTCTTCCCGTTTGCTATAATGTATAGAACAAAATAGATATGCCAATTTAGTAGTTATACTAAACGATTAAAGTACATGTGTATAAACTTACATTTAAGGAATTTTCTAAATATTTATCGTAATCTTCTGTCCATGTAGATGGTATTTTTGTCTTATATGATAAAAGTTTTTTCATTGTCGTTTAATTCTACTTTATTTTGATCAAAGTTATTCCACGATAATTCGTCGAGACGTTGGTTAGTTTTGATGATATTGTATAATCCTCAATGATAACTTTTTAGAAATGCTTTATTTATTCCGTTGGATAGTGAATCTTCGACTCTCTTAAGCCTCGTCATCTAATTAGTGACGCGTATGAATGGATTAACGAGATTCCCACTGTCCCTATCTATACACTAAAAAACAAAATGCCCCATGTGGGCAGACTTTATTAATTATGAGTGAAAAAATATTTTAGCAAAGAACGCTTTATTAAACTTAGCACAAAATACAAATAATATGTAAAATTGTAGCATATATTTTTATTATATCTAGAGAATATATCATATTAATCACTTCACTTCCTTATACATTGGCATACCATATCGCTCAGGTAGATAACTTTTAAGGGTAACTATTATTCGGAATAAATTTAATGACGAGACAAGAGTCTGTGTTTTTTTATAAGAAAAGGATCATATATTATATAAATCACATACATTATTACAATATTGTATATGAATAATACAGAATTATTAAATTTATCTTTAGAATCTTACCATAAATTCCCCTGGAAACCGCTGCAAATCGTAAACGTCTGACACATTGATTTTGTTCATCTCTCTCGTGATTGCGAAAGATTTTCTGCCGCGGCATAAGCAAGAATATATGTTGCCCTGTTCCAGAATTCCATCTTATCTAGTAATTCTTGCTCAGCCTCCGCCTTATCAGAAGCAAATTGTTTCTCTTCTGCCTTAAAGATCAAGACGCTGTTTAACCATGCCACTACATCGGGTCGAGTATTCTTGACCGTTGCACCAGAGTAGTCGATTAATAACAAACGAAAAGGGTAAATTCTAAGGTGTTGTTAGTTTAAGCTTTATCTAAATGTATGATTTCTGTATTTCTTACCTTGCTTAATTCGCACCAAATATCGCGCACTAAATGATCGTATCTACTCAATAATGCATTCTCTGAACCAGAATGATCTTGTTCTAAAGCAGACTGACACTTATATGATAGACTCGAGCCACTAGTTCCATTAGCATTCCCATCTATGAAATAGTTATCTACTCTGTCACCAATAATACCTTTCCAATTCTTGTAGCAAATACTCTCAATAGGTATTTTTGTGGCAAATGGTGCAGTAGCCAAGTCTTCAAACTCGTCGCTGATGGTAAAATCTGAAGTGGTGTATCAAATGCTTCTCTTAAAGAAACACTAATATCTATCTTTTCAGGAACTACTGATAAACCAAAGCAATTTAGTATGGGCAAAAATTGAATGGGACATAAATGGAATTAAAGGAGACAAAACGAAAGGATAGAATAAGAGGTATAGTATAGCGAAAAGTAATTATCTCAAGTGTTATGAGACTGAACCGAAGACAATAATGAAGATAATATGGATAGGAAAATTTACAGGTTGTCAACAATACTCTATGACCCCAACGCCCGAGTCACCTGGTTGAGTAGCGTTTGCTACAAGTATATCCCCCACACGGTCACTCCACTTAGTAACCTCCGCCTCCAGCTGCTTCTTTTCTTCCTCCAGCTTGTCCCTCTCCTCCTTCCACTCGGCTCGCTGCGCCGCAGTCCCCGTAACCTCCCTTTCAGCACTTCCAGCCACTGCCCATCCGCTCCTTCCTTAAACTCCTTTAACGCTGCCTTCGCGTCCTCTAACTCCCTCTCCGCCTTCCCCAACAGTTCCCGTGTGCTTGCCATTTTCTTGTTCGATCAGTGGCTTGCACATCTGGAATGTGTGCCAGGTTCGTACCGCAGCAATAAAATTACCCAAAAGTTGATATATAGTTAGAGTGAAGATCAAAATTATATGTAAAATTGCCTCACCGACATTTTTTATTAGTACTCCAAGTTAGATTTGAACATCCATTTCCCGTATTTTT